GAAGGAGCTCTCCTACATACAGGAGACTTCCGAGCAGAACCGTGGTTCTTGGAATCCCTTAAACACAACCTATTTCTTCAGCCTTATCTTTCCCTTCCTGATTACGATACTTCGTCCACCAACACACATTGTGGTGTCATAAAAACCTTGGAAGCGATATATCTGGATACTGCATGTGTCATGCAGAGCCATCAGGTTCCCACTAAAGTCAGTTGCTGGTTTTATGTGTATCAAGTTTGACGCAAACGGGAAACTTATAGGAAGACGCAACTACCGGTTTAGTCGCGCTTCTCAAGTTATATCCCCCTTCAACGTATTTCTTTATCAATTCATGGACATGGGGATATGAGGACATTCTCAAGGCGATAGCTAGGGCATTCAACTGCAAAGTAATATTCCGATCTTTATTTTCGACTTACGAGGCTTATTATCTTAACAGATCCATTTGGATGACTACAAGTACAAAATATACTCTCGACTTACCTCCGATCCTCTTTTGCAAGCCCTCGGAACGACAGACCCAGATGAAACGCGTTTTCATGCTTGCGAACGCTTTTCTCGTTGTTCCCATGTCAATGTCGACCGCGATGGCAACTTCGTCGAAGACAACGACGAAAGCCTGAATGATGAAGCCAGCGAAGACACTGTTGAGGCTATGAACAGGATGTTCAATCTACCCATGTCAAATCAGAAGGCGAAACGCGAAAAAAGCCAGGAGAAGGTGGTCGTATACGTGAATCCTGTAAGCTCCATGACTCCAGAGTCTTGGGCGAAATACAAAGCCACGACGAAGAACCAGCTATTGAAAGGAGAGGTAGTTCGGTCTTTGGTACGTACTGTAGTTTTTTCTGGTAGCCTGTTCATTGACTATGGTTCCAAAGCTGGTACCTCTTTCGCGACATTCACCTCTCCCAGAATTGCAATCGTTCGTCTCCCTCTTCCGACCTAAGCGTATCATACCGAACACACTAGACCCTTCATTGCTGGACCTCGACTGGGCGGGTATCGACCGCATTTTTCAGAGCTGCTGTCGAAAACCTGATATCCCAGCCCGTCAACTTATTCCTCCCGTCCCAGTCGCTCAGCATACCTTATTCCTCGAACTAGCTCGGCTATGTCGAACTGTATCGAAACAGACCATTCCTGACGATGACGAGCAGGATGTTGCGGTGAAGAACATCATCGGAGATCTTTCCGAAAATGCAGATATGAAATCTCGAGCGATGGCAAAGCAATGGCTTGTTGGGCTCGGTTATGGTGTCGACCCATCTGCGCTCAAAGGCAGCGCCGGCCGAAGAATAGATGTCCTCAGAAGCTGGTTAGGTCTGTCAAAGTGGGACGAATCTCAACCCGACCATCCACCCGAGACGACTTTGAAAGGAAAAGGGCCCACGGCAGACACTCCAGCGAAGAAACGGATCGCGATACGAAGGGAGTCCACCATTCGTATCCGGAATAGCAGTGATAATGAACACGATTCCTCTGATGATGAAGACGCTCATGCACGAACGGCACATCATTTATTTGCGCCGTCGGATGGTGGGGAGTACGATGCACAGGCTCGATGGGACCGGTCCTCGATGTCTTTCGAGGATGAGGATGCGGCAGAAATTGAGGCGAGCCTTACGGGAGCAAGTCGCGAGCCCAGAATGGGAATACGAAGGATGACTCCTGAATCTTCACCCATTCGAGGTGTACCGAAGCACCGATCCGTTCCAAAGTCACCTCTGAACAACAAGCCGTCGGGTAGTCCAGCTCGTGGTAATGGGCAGCATTTCACGACATCAACTCCAATTGACAAAGTAGGACCTCGATCTCCCTTGCCTTATCACAATCGCCTGTTTTGATTTCCATAGTTCGTCCTGTAAACCTGCCTCCATCGTGTTCCCGCTCGACTATCCAGCCTCGAACATCTGCTGAACAAGGGTTCCGTATCCGAAACCCCGCAGAGCAAACGAATTCGAACGTTTTCGTTTCTTCATCTTCCAGACCCGCACATGCAACTCCTTCGCCCTTGTCAAGCCCTACGAACTGGAGGAAACGCCCTTTGGCGTTGGTGTCTCCAAAAGTTATAGACCTCACACCCACGAAACGGTCTAAAGTGACCAGTTCTCGCGGAGCTCCTTCCTCAGCAGCCAGTCCCTTGAAAGAGGTGAAGAATGTCGCCAATCAAGTAGCTTCTTCTAGTAAACAAGGTGGTGGTGGTGGTGCTGTCGACGAGAGTGAACCGAAAAGTTTGGAGAAGCAGCGTGATCCCCCGGTAGATCCATCTCCAACAAGCCCCAAATCAACCACGCCCTCCCGAGTCCGATGTGTTCGCTCCGCCCCTCAAATCCCGCCCTCTCTCCGGCAAACCAAATCTGAACTCCTTGATCAGCAACTAGCGATCGCTCGTAAACTCGCCTTGGCACGATCCCACCGCGTCGTACCCACCTTCGAAGCAGACTGCGCCAAGCTCGAGAAACGGCGGGATCGCCTGCGCTTGCGGGAGACGAGCACGGTGGAGTATGCTGGGGCACAGCTGGAGCTGCGGAAACTGCGAGCAGACGAGTTCGAGAAAAGTATCCAGGATATTCCGGGGTTGCATGGATCGGATGAGGACGGTGTGAATTGGGAACGGAGTAGGATGCTTCAGCGGCGCGCGACGGAGGATATTCAGAGTGGTCGGAAGCCGACGTTTCCGCCGTTAAAGTGCGTGCAGGATAGTATGGTATGACGATGTAGTTTTTTTTTTCAGGTGGTTACAAGTTTTTGATATTTTTATACACTTTTTATGCAACTTTGTCATTGATACTGTCTTTCGTTCAGTCAAAAGCTTCACTACAATCAATTTATTTAACCATAATGGTAAAAGGTACATGGGGGGGTTGGTATATAACATACTCTATGTATGTATTGCATATGTACAACAACAGAAAAGAGGGACAGTGTGAAAGGAATGTGTGTGATTGGTTGTGTGTTTGTGCCTTGTGGGAAGGAAGCAGTGAATTAGAGCAAGCTCGGTTTTCAGTATAATCTATATGCAAGATACAGCAAATTTGGAAGGAAAGATACAGTGGGTTGTGGTGGTAGATAAGAGCCAGAGAGAGAGATGCGGAAACAAAGACGGAAAATATCATCTCGGGTCAGCTCCGAGGCGCAAAGACGGCAACGAGAACGATGAACGGGATATATGTTACTAGCGCCACTCCACTCATGATTCGACATCGCCTTCGCCACGATCTCGCGTCTAACAACAGGAGTGAATACAGCAGCAACGATAATGGGATATTTTGAAAAAAGCGTACCATGTTCTACTTGAGGGTCATCCAGAACGACCGATTTTTGCCCATCATGGCCACCCTCGATTTTCCTCGTTTGTGGGATTTTCAACAGCGCAGCGACCCACCACAGCGGAAAGATAATGAACCCAAGAAAAAAGAGCCAAGCATGCGGCGGACTGCCTCCTCCTTCGTACCACCCTAACGGTGACGAACGCTCTTCCTTGTGTGACTCTGCATCCTCTGTCCGCTGCCCCCTACTTAAGAACCCCGATAGCAAGACAGAATGTATACGCCCTGAAACGTAGCCGTGCTCTCCATATCCAGCCTGGGGAAACGCCAACGTCCAAGGCGTAGACTGTATCTTCGGTGGCTTCCGCGGGTCCCGCATGTGGAACGTAGAGGCATGGGTGTGTGAGACAGACGGCGCGTGTGGTGATATTAAAGCTGAGATAGGAATAGAGGCCTGCGAAAGCGACGGTGCGCGAACGGAAGGTACTCGAGTGTGAGTGTGAGAAGGATTCTGGCTCACACGAGATCGAGAGGTGGTACGAGAATGCGAACGCGTTAGCGTGTTGAGTTGATTACGCCCTCGTGCAGAGTTCCAGGTGCCTGTGTTTCCGGCGTTCTGGCTTTCCGAGCGCGAAGGTGGCCGTGGCTCTACAGGCGAGTCTGATTCTCCTACAGCGGCCATTGATGCAGCGAGACCTGCGGCTGAGGGTGTGGTGGATAGCCTAGCTCGTTTTCGAGTATAGGAGGACGGCGCATGAGAGGAGCTCGATGTTGCTGATCCACGATGAGCTGCATAATGATATAGGAGCATTTTTTTTACTTGTAAAGTTTTTGACTAGGTGATAGCCACTGTGTACTCACGTCTTGGATCCGCTGCGAACGTAGCCTTTTGTTTGCGCACATCTGGCGGTGTATTCCCTTCCACTTCATCTGCCTTCCGCTTTCCCTTCCCTGTACCCGTCACCGGCGTCGATGGTATTTTTGTCTCGGCGGTAGACGGCCGTAATGGAGTTGGGCCAGATATGGATGTTTTGGAGACAGAATCGCTGGTTTGCTTTTTGGCCATCTCGAGAACATCGCCATGGTTGGAACTAGACGACATCTGTGTTTTTAAAAAGGAACAAAACTTGAAGCTAGGGACCCAAGGCGAAATAGATTATTTAAATATTAAAAAAGCATGCGACTGAGAGGGAAAAAGGAAGGTCAGTAAGTAGATTTTTACTTGTTGAGATTAAGTCAGAGATTCACCTTATACACCACAAAACCAAGGACTTTATAGAGCGCGTGGATGGAAGGAAAGACAAAGGGCGATATTTTTGATTGCAATCACACGTGTATGGCTGATCAGATCTGATGACTTGTATACATTTGGAACTAAAGCTTTGCCCGTCTCAATAGGCTCAGTACCAGCTCAATTAGATTGAAGCATAAAGCTAGAGAACACTGCGCGTAAATTGTTACCCTGCGTCGAGTGGCCGTACCCCAGGAAGCATATAAGGTGCCAGTGAATGTGGCGTGGTTAACGTTACACCTGAAGGGGGTGTTAGGGTGTGATGAGATATGAGCTAAGAATAATTGCTGTACCATACCCATACATAAGGGTGTCAAATGCACAATTCATCAGTAAGATACGGCCTCAGATGGGGACGACTGTGGTTTGAAGTGTAGCCCAATACTCATTACTTACAATGCAAGATGATATTTGTAGATGCATTATTTGCTAAGCATGGCCGACTAGCTCAGTTGGTTAGAGCGTCGTGCTAATATCAATGGCTGCAAGCCACTGATTAACGCGAAGGTCTTGGGTTCGATCCCCACGTTGGCCAATGATTTTCTAGTGTTACAGCTTTTATTTGATCACTTTTTTTTTTTTTTGGGGGGGGGGGGAGGGGCAAATAATTTGACATCCATGCGTTGCTATATATCAAGATTTTTCATCTAGCGAGTAATACAGGCTCGTTTCGTGCAAACATACTGCATACTACAGTTTCTACTTGACTCAGTCTTGACTCTAGCCAATCTGCCATGATTCTGGGACCCGATACGGTAGATAATCCACTCGTCATATGAAGGTGATCCGTGTTAAGAGCATCGAAGGTGTTAGATTGAGCAGTATTTGAAAGGAAAGCTGAGTTTGTGCAGTGGGAGCCATGAAAACTAATCACGCCAAAGCGGACTCTTGCTACGAAGCTAGAACACACGGCTCGAAGAGTTTTTCGAAGCCACACATAGTACGGTCCCTTCAAATTTGGGCTAAAGGTAACTGGTATTAATGGCATACGACAGTTGATACCTTTCAATCATCTCTCCATTCAACCTGGCCTTTTGACCATCTATCCGCCCACATCACTCTCTTGTGGTAAACCTTCCGGGCCTCTTTGAATTCCTTGATAAAATCATCGATTTCCTTTCCGCTTGGTGTCGCCGTTCCTGAATGACTTTCCGAAGATCCCGTTATTTGGTGTTGAATAAAAGCAGTAGCCAGAGCCTCTGAAGCAACGTCTTGATCGGTGATACTATGTCGAAGACGCATAAGAAGAAATTGAGGCGAAAACCTCTACAGCACAGCAGTACAGTTTAGTTACCGGTTTTCACAGAATAAACGCAGGGACGAACTTGATAAACATCGCGCTGCTCTTTCTCTACTTCCTTCCATCTTGCTTCCAGAGACTTTGCTTCGTTGAAAGCATCCTGTGTTTCCGAGCGAAGGCGATACAGCCTTTCTTGTAACGCCAAAGTGTTATCTGAGGCAGATGTAGATTGCGTAACGACGGCTGAGCTTGTTCATAGCTCACTCGCAATAGATTCATTTGCATTCCCAAGCTCAGATTGAGCGTCGTGCATTGCTTTCACCCTCGGCAATGAGTGTAACACAGCCTGAAAGTAGTTTGGGTCAGCGAGTAGGTCTTCCAGGTCCTGCCGCCTAACAAAGAACGGATTTGAGTGCAGATTGACGGAAGCAGAGAGTAGTCCTACGATAAATGAGCCAGCTCGGGGAAATCTGTCGTAAATTGAGTGACTACATCGGTAGACATTGTTGTGGTTAGTAGTCAAGAACTCTAGCGCCCATGTGCGCTTAACCTTTCTTAATTCGACTATCATGTCCACCGTGCTCCCTGGCGAACGAGTTCCGGCTCAGCACGTAAATCTGAAGCTTGGTCCTGGCCTCCTGCAAGTCAACAATGCGTCTGGCGCGCGCACAACACCCTCAGTAATATCTACTCGTGCGGGGACACTTAATCATTCGACAAACGGTAGCAAATGGTGGATCGAAAGTAATTCGCGGCGGGTAGGCTCGTTCCATGTCAAAATAATGCTATATCTCCTGATCATCCAGCTATCTAGTATGTACCCGCTGCACAAGAAGCCGTGATAGGCGTTATAGCTCAAAAACAAGGCGAAGGATTTCGGGTTGACATCGGGTCAGCGCACTCCGCGAACTTGGATGGTCTGGCTTTCGAAGGCGCCACAAAAAGAAACAAACCAAATCTGAAGGTAGCAGATATTGGATCTCTCTTAACCCGCTGTTTTTACGCTAAAAACCTGGAATAGGTTGGGAGCCTCGTCTACGCACGAGTTTCATTAGCACACAAAGACATGGAACCAGAACTGGAATGTTTTGATGCACAGACGCGAAAAGCAGAGGGGTTTGGGGAACTCAAGGGTGGATTCCTTGTACGATGTAGTCTTAAGATGTGCAGACAGTGCGTAGATTTATCTCAACAACACGAATCTAACAGTCTTTTCTTTTGGTATTCACAGATTACTGGACCCAAATCATTTTCTCCTACCCCTTTTGGGATCTGTGTTTCCTCTCGAGATTGCTGTTGGGCTCAATGGTCGAGTGTGGATCAATTCGCCAGACGCGAAACACATTATCGCGATAACACAGGCTATTGAAGCGGCAGATCCTGATTCACGCGGGCTAGATGAAGGTGCTATAAGAACCCTGTTAGGGGACCTAGACCGCAAATAAATGTTCTCTTCGACGCACTAGATTGCTGGTTCAGCGGTTCGATAGTTACTTTAATGGAAAGGCAAAAAATTAGTTGGCGAGCGCCTAAACTCGAAGAGAATGGAGGGGTCGTTCGAAAGCAACACAATCTCGAAACCTCGAAGGCCAGATTGAAGATGGATATGGCAGGCTCGGAGAAGAACAGGACTGGGATACGTTCAAAAAGTCCGAGTTTGAATCATCACGAATTTCTTCAAAACACTCGAGGAAAGCTTGTCGAACATTCACAAATAACGAGATCGGAACGTGGAATATTAGGGACATACGCGATGCCGATTGTAGATGTACTAAACAGTGTACTAAACAGTCCACTTGCGATTGGATCATCAAGAAACTTAGAGCTGTCCTGACCATGATTACCCCAAACGATGGGATCAGTCCGGGACTACTGTGGTCCTCCGGGAGCGAAATAATACTGCGACCAGTACATTGGGATCACTGTCACGCTTCTCCGGAACGATGAAGGTAATAGTACGATATTGTCCTGCTTTTCCTCACTGCGGCTATAGAATTGCATTAGTACTAGAGCAAGTGCGAATGGTTCGGGGACGGGGATGAGATCTCGGAGAAAGATATCCAGTGCTGTCAGTGATTCATTCTTCCTTTGCTGTAGCTTTGGCCTTGGCGCAGCGAAAATCATGATGAACAGAGGGCAGGTAGCAGATAGGTGTCTCCTATCAGAAAGTGTATACGCTTGAGCCACTGTTCGGCAGTTTACCACCAGTTTCCAGCGCCGAGCGGTGCTTTCAGATACCTGCAGCGAACTGATTTCAGGATTAATCTCTGGGCCCTACATTCAACTCTTGGACCGTGCTACCTCATAAATTATTCCTTCTTCCTTTCAGTCCGCTCATTTCTTGCCGATTTAGTGCGTCTTGCGACTAGCGCTCTACTGGTTTTTTGGCCGCCATGTCAGACTCTTTCAGTGACATCGCTGACCTCCGGTATGTTGGTCAAGCGAACCTCTGCACAAATATCCTCATGTTGCTCATAGTGTGTTGAATAAATGTACGGCTTTGTCGGCCTACGGTGAGATTATCGTCGCCATTGCGTTATCCGGCTCATGCCCCGAACCACAGTTTTATGATTTTACGACTTCTTGCTCACACTCCCTACTGAAGTTCAATTTATATGGTCTAGTCGACTAACCGGCCCTTCTATGTTATTCATTCTGTGTCGCTACAGTTTTTTGCCATTGGCAGTCTTAGAACTAGTCGTTTTCTCCCAAAAAATGACAAGTATAAGGTTTGGCATTTTCTCTCTAGCATATCTGCTTGAAGCCTTGCTTGACTCAGGATATTGTGCCCAGTTGTAGGGACCTTAATCTTGCGTTGCTTGTCTTTTCCAGTATTACTGGTGCAACCGAAAAATGTATGTCATCTTCATTCCCCATCAAATACCGCCGCTGAGAGTTGTTTGCTGTAGTACTTTCCGTTTTGAGGGTTTATGCCCTCTTCAGTAAAAAGCGGCCACTGCTACTCGTTCTGCTGTGTCCATTGGTCATCGCGGATGTTGTTAATGCTTTCCTGGTGCGCCCTTTGTGTATTACGGGTTTGCACAACTATATTCATATTTTATGGGTCTATGTAGGCGTGGTTCTCGCTCAGAATAACCACCACCAAAGGCACAAATATTGAGCTGTTCTCACCATGTGCCATCAATGAGGGCCTTGAGTACGAAATGTCAGCACATTCAACGCATCTTCCTCCTGTCTATTCGTTGTAATGACGGCTCTTACTTTTCCTTGTCAGTTGTCAGTCTTTGGTTCACTGAGCAGTGCATTGTTCCAGGCCAATTAATCTACGTGCTAGTGACCCTTGTTTCTCCTCTCCTCCAATTGACTTTTGCAACTGTGGTCTTCATTTTGACTTTGGTCCGAACCGTTCGTCACATCATAGAATCCCGAAAATCTGGTATTCATAGCATCGCTGAGCTGGTTCTGCGTGATGGTAGGTGAACCTTTCAACTGTCATAATGGCCGCAGTCCAATTTTATTAACGTGCATTTATGTTTACACAGGCACTCTGTACTTCTTGTAAGTTCTTTCTTCAACTTTCCGTCGCAGCTTCAAATGCAGTCTTACCTCCCTCTAGCACCATCTTCGTAATCGATAGTATATTAGCTGCTTTCGCATTGGTGCGTTATGTTTTATTCTTCGTGTTATTTCACTCAACCTCCAGTCCAGAACTCCATGTTCGTGAGTTACCCCCCATAACGTTCTAAAGAATGGCAATGATTCGAACATGTACAACCCAGGCAGCAAAGCCAGAGCAAGCCTTCACAAACATCGTTTCCCCATTTCTCGCTGTGTACGTATACTTATTATCTTTTCAAGCCAATTAACTGATCATCCTAATAAAAATCTTTCTCAGTCTACCAAATATTCTGATAAATCGTTTTGTTCTCAACCTTCGTGTTTTCTCAAACCGCACCATTCAACATTCTGTTAAAGTTCCATCCGACACAACGGCCCCTCCACTTGGTGCATCGGATTGTTCTGAGAACCGATTCATTGGTAATATGGCAGCTCCGTTGGGCCCTACGTCAGCGGGATGTTAATGTTCTGATTAGGAAATCATCCGCTGACCCCAGCCTGCCTGTAGTCAAGCCTGTGGACTTTGACCGAGCAGGAGCCATTGGGCAGGTGGCTTATCCTAGGATCGACGGCAAAGAAATCCGATGGCCTGACGGAGGGGCTGGTGGTGTTGAGATTGTGACAAACATGATTTAGAGATGCCGACGAACATCTGGGGTTTAGCTAGCTGCTTCCGGCGAGGCGATAAAAATGCAAGTGTGATCACAGCTGTAGTA